TCCGCTGATCCGCTGATCCGCTGATCCGCTGGTCTGCTGATCCGCTGATGGGCTGGTCCGCTGGTCCGCTGATCCGCCGATCCGCTGTTCCGCTTGTCCGCAGTTCCAATCCACAGGGGCTGGCTCCACATGTCCTCTGGGAACCGCTTCATGAATTCCCTTTCCAAAAGCCGGGCAACTTATGTTTGGGAAAACATACATAATAACAGCGTATACAATACCACGGCTTTTCGGTTGCAGAGGACACATCGAACCAGTGGCGCCCACACGCGCACTTCCAGGGCTGTGTTTCACGTGGGCCAATCAAGTCTCCATCTCCTGCAAGCTATCGATGGTGCCTGTCCCTTGTGCAATGCGCTCGTTGTGCGTCCAGCACACTTCTGTGAGAAACCACACGAAGCCATATTGGCTCATGTGCTTGGACGCATGTTTGAATTGGGACAGCCACGTAAATGTAAATTCGCAGACACTGCTCCGGATTCCTTCCAAGCGTTGCTTGTGGCACTCTAAAGTAGGCGCGCAGGTTTCTTTGCACCATCTGTCTGTGTGACCGGTCATATGGAAAGGGTCGCACACGAAAGCCATCTTGGGAGGAGCGATGCCAGCAGCAGCCTGCGATTCCTTGCCGGGAGAGAGCGCTTGAACAAAGCACCAACGCATTATATGTTCTAAAAACAAAAACCGCATTTTCAAAAGAAAGCACGTATGGGCATGAAAAGCATTTTGTACATCACCGTCCTCTTTGCGGCGTTCTGCGTATTTCAGCAAATGGCACGCGTCGTCATGGACGCAAAGAACTGCTTCTGGCAGCAGGCACTTAGCTTCTGACAGCGCAAAATATCTTTGCGACAGGCTTTCACAGCCAAATATTTCACGCAGCAAAACAATGAGGCCAGAGGAAAGGCATACGCAAAGGACCCCCGCACTCTTAGCCAGCTGAAGTGGCTCATGTTCTTTGTGGGTGACGCAGGCGACAGCGCTCAAATCTTCAGCGGCTGAGAGGTGTGGGAGCACAGTGACATCCGGAGGCGATTCCACGTAGGACGGGCCCACGGCCCGTTTCTTTTTGTTCTGTTGTCGTTCCACACCTTTGCGTTTGAAGTATTGGTCCAGCAAGGCTTGGTGCACCACAGGCTCGGAAACCCAAGCTTCTCTTTCAGCCCCTTTTGTTTCCCGCAGCAACACCTGCACAGAGCCATCTGTTTGTATCCTGTGTTCCGCAATCTCCACATCCTGCACAGGGCTCCAGAAGACGGATATGAATTCTATTTGGGGAAAACGTGGCGAATGGGGGCCTTTGTGTACACCTTGGGGGCTTTTGTGCGCAAACGCCAGCTGCCAGATGCACAGATCTCTTTTTCAGCCTGTAGCTGGCATTACTACCAATCTAATCTTCGTGTCCGTCTTGTCGCTTCCGCTTGGGAGGAGCTGCCGATTTCGCCTTTGCGGCTGCGGCTCGGTTCATGGCTGTCATGAGCTCTCTCATGGTGACTCCGCACAACTTCATCAGCTCATTGTGGTAGAATGTCCGCCCTGGTGCATCTTGCGGTATAGCACGAAGTTGGAGGGTGTCGTCTTGGAAGTCAAGGATGGGAGAACCAGCGCAAGCTTCCATCACGGCCACCCAGTTCTCTCGCGGTAAGGCCTTTCGACCGGATTCTCTGGAGGAGCGCAACTTGTCGCAAATAGTTTTCGAAGTTACCTTGGGATGCCCATGTAGAAGCGTAGCCTTCATGATGAAGCGATCAGTCAAATGCTTCGCGTGAAAAGCACTCTGCACTGAAGCGCCATCAGGGCCATACCCAAACTCGATGGAGCGAACGTCGGCAACCCGGAGCGGCTCAGTCTCGGGCGGAAGTTCGGGGCTGTGACTTGCAGCCGCATCGTCGACTATGGAGTCTGCAAAATCTCCGCCGGGAAAGGGAAGTGGATCTGCCCCAACCAAGGCATCGAAGTCAGGTTGCACTTCTGCTGGCTGCGGCTGGGGGTTGGGACTGGCAGCTTCTTCGCCCAAGGCAATGTCCTTGATTGTATGCACCTTGAAATGGTGTCAAAACACCATCACAGGGCTGCCAGACATGCTGAAGTGGAGCAAAGTTGAACATCTCTCTATGTGTGCATGCCCGGTGATACAACACCCCCCGGCACATAGACCCCGAATCCAAACTGTCTGAAGCATGCCCGCGCAAGTATGTAGCAACGTACCGCGCAAGTATGTCTGAGCAACGTACCAAGTGTTTGCGCCGTCTATAAAGTATGTAGCACGTCACTCCTTTAGTCTTCGGTGGCTTTGTCGGACGCTCATATTATATATATATATACTCAGGACCCGGCGATTTTGACCAGAGCGAACGCACGTCGAAGGTGGTCGGGTGTGACCTGCAAATCTTTCTGCTGCAAGCGGTCGGCGCTGTAGACTCCTGAGAAGATTTCGTAGACCAGCAGCAGCCCGGCCAAAACGCCGATGTGCCACGGCGCAGCGCCGAGGCGGGCTCCACCAACAGGATCTGCACGTTCCCGGGCCATGTGGGACTGCACATTCAATCCACCCTGGTAGGACATGTGCATTTGCTGGGCTTCGGGAGTGAGATCAAGTTTCATATGTGGCACGGAAAAATATTCCGTGACCCGCAGGACTGCCGCTTCAAGTTGGAATTCAGGAGGCACAGGAAAAGCTCTGTTGGCCACACGCCATTCAGCGGTGAAGCCAGACGGCACCCTGGGATCCCTGCGGAATCGCAGGCGGCTCATGTTGCCGTCAAGCAGGCGGACAGGATAGCCCGCGGAAGATGGCAAGTAGTCGGCTGCAAAGTCTTGCGTGGCAGGGAGCTCTGGCGGCATCTCGCCAGGAAAGGTTTCCTTCCATTCAGCTTGGGCAGCTGCTGGAGAAGTAGCCTCTTTGGCGATGCCGAGCATTTCGGCCACTTCCGCCGGCAAAGGTACCCAAACATGTCTGGGTGTCCCTGGCAAGTTCCAGGGCAGGTATTTCAAGAAGCGCAACAAACTGAAAGCTTCCTATACCCTGACCACAGGAGTGTTAAGGCAGTTTTGAGGATGTCAGCAACGACCCGAACAATCAAATGGTCCTGTAAACAAACCACAGCTCGGTTCTCCCAACAAACCCAGCGAACCGTCAAAGGGTGAACAGGAAACAGCTCAAGACGTCCTTGCCTGGTTCTAAGATGAAATCGTCGGGGAGGTCTTGGTGCGGCTGGACGGGCTTCCCAGAAGCCACTAGAAATCTCTCTTTGCATGCAACTTGATGCGATCCACTCTCGCCACGCTCCATGGGAAAGAACTGCGACGGGTGAATGTTTGCGGTCACACCTAGCGAGATGTTCCGGGAATCTGTTTCGCCAAATGAACCCGCCGTCTTGGTTGCTCTTGCCGCGGAGCCAAACTGCAAAAGTTTGTTGAGAGAGGATTGATGCGGGCTAATCTTGGTGGATGCTTTGGCTGAAAGCTTCTCATCAGACAGCAAACCAAAAGAGGTGAGAAAATCATATGCTTCGTCGAGGTTCCCAAGCACTCCATACCACCGGCGGCCGTGCCAGAGATGTGACCCACCTGGCAACTTGCTTCCATTCTTGACCTGGTCAAAGTCACTTGCGCATCTATGAAACCACTCCTCAGGGGTTGCGCTTGCGATGGCGGATGATAGCACCACAGCCGCAACCGGTTTGGGCCTCGGGTCACAGCTTCAAAGTCAAAGGCGCGAGACACCTACAAGCTTTGTCAACATGAAACACAGAATGAAGCAACAGCTTCTGGAACTAAAGCCAGCTCTGGTTGGTGCTTGTTTCGTAGTTCTGTTCAATAACACGCATTGTTTATCCGAAACCGCGCCTCTGACCAGCAGCAGTGCTTTCATCATGCGTGAAATCTTGTTCCACTGACATCTGGTTCAAGAAGGTTTGAGTCTTTTGCCGGACATGGGAATCCAACACCCTGGTGATGCTGTCAGCATGGCTGGTGCATGAGCTCTTTCGTGTTTGTGAATAGTTCACGTTGATTCCAAAGGCAACCAAAGGACTGCTTGCCGTGGGAAAAATCTGCACAGCAGCTCCGTTCGTCAAAGGTGCCATCATCGATAACAAGTGCAGTGCATATGGGTACTCAGGGTGCGATGCGCGGACGGCCCATGTTTGACACATCTGGTGGCCTTTAGCCGTGAGGATGTCAGCTGGTTGCCACATCTTCCGCACAGCATCCCAAATCTTCTTCATTGCCGGCAAATATTCAACATCCCGGCTCATTGCCACAACGGACGCAGCAAGGGCCAAGAGGCAAACAAAATAGCTTTCTTCTGCGAAAGGAAAAACGGCTGCGGCGTCAGGTCATCCTATAGTTTGCGACCCATTCGTGTAGTTGCCTTCCCTTGCCGCACAGACAAGCTATTTGACGAACACTTGTTCCCATCAAAATAGAGTTGGGAAGTCTGACACCAGGGTATGCATGTGTGTGTGATTCTTCGACCATGAGCTTTCCGCAACCCAGGTCCTGAGGTGCAGCAGCCACATCATCTGTATTGTGCTTGGCGCAAAAGAGATGCCCAAGCGCAGGGGTAGCTGGGCAATTGTGCCGGAGTGTTTTGTTGAGAGAAAGAGACTGCTTTCTCCCGCACAGCAACGCTGCGCATACAGCCCGCCGGTTCTTTGCGTTCCCGTCCATGACAATGGCATCTCGCCGCATGTTTGCTGAGCGTGCTGAAGCCACGGCAGCATCTGAAAATGCTTTTTGTAAAGCAGGAAGAACAGGTTTCAGCAAATCTTCAACTCCCTGATGTATGTCAATGGGGTTCTGCGCCACACCCGGGATATTGTAGGCGTACCCTCGCACAAGCAACCGCCACTTGAACCAAGCCTCGCTGATCATTTTTCTGAGCCGGGCCACTGGCAGCCAAGCAGTCTGACCGTGTCTGACTGCTCTTTGTTGAATGACGTCACTCTCACTGATGAAGCTAGCGTGTTGGCGGACAACACGGCTGTGAAAATCTTCCAGCCATTCGATCGAAAAGCCAAAAGATGATGAAACCATGAAGCATTTCAAGTCTTGTGGATGTCCCAGAAAGAAATGTCTTCCAGCGTCTACGAAGTAGTTATGCCAAATCAAGCTGCCATACATATCACAGTTCTTGTTGCGACAGCGACACGGTATGTGGTCCTTCCTGACCAAACCACCTGTGTGCACTATGGTCGCTACTGCCTTGGCAGATGCAATCTTTGCGAGGTGCGAATCACACCGTGGGCAGGACTTTTGGAGTGGCAACAATTCTCGGAAACAGGTTTCACCGCCAAAGACAGGGAGGCAATGCCCGATCTCTGCACTAAGACACTCAACCACGCGTCCAGCCACGGCATCGGGCACAACTGCTGCCGGGTCTGCACTGGTCACGGCATCTAGCAAGCAAGCGAGTCGCTGCTCCATCCGCGCAAACCATGTGCTTGACAATATGTATAAGATAAGAGAAGCACAAAAAGGGTTGCGCTCGAAACAATGACTATATGCTGCTTTGCAGTCTACATGTGCAAACTTCATGTATACACGTGTATGTAGTAGAAGGGCGCATGCCCCTACCACAAAGCGGCCGTCCAAAGCTGTCTGGGTGGAAATCAGCATCCGTGAAAGGTTTTCAAACCATGTCAAATCTCTTGGTCAACGTCTTTTCTCTCTCTCTCGCGTGCTCGATCCATCCGTCCATCCATCCATCCATCCATCCATCTATCTCTCCCTCTCTCCCAAAGCCAGACAATATGTGTGAGAATGTGCGTGGGATTTGATTCAAATGGTCTTGCTCCGCTAATCCACTGGTCGATCCGCTGATCTGCTGATCCGCTGGTCCGCTGATCCGCTGATCCGCTGGTCCGCTGATCCGCTGATCCGCTGATCCGCTGGTCCGCTGATCCGCTGATCCGCTGATCCGCTGAGCCGCTGGTCCGCTGATCCGCTGGTCCGCTGAGCCGCTGATCCGCTGGTCCGCTG